GTTTACAAACGAAACATGCATTTTCTTTTTATGTGTACAGTCTTAACTTAAGGAATTTGCTTTTCCAATTATAATATATCGACGAAATAGAAAGTTATCACTCTTAGCGGGTATACAAAGTTGAGGTTACGAATATGTACAGTTAATGCTTCAGTATCGCTCGAGAAGAGAACATCGCAAGAGCTGCTTCCTCTTCGACATTCTGACTTTCTTTTCACTTTCAAATATTTTGGTGTTCTGTCTTTGCAATTTTTTGATAATTTTATTCAATAATTGATTATTTAGTTCCTTTCCTTGTCTAACTGGTTTCTATAGTGCTATCCTTGTCTACCACTATTCCTTTCCTTGTCTAACTGGTTTCTTTAGTGCTATCCTTGTCTACCACTGTTTCTTTCCTTGTCTATCTCGTATCTATGATGCTATCCTTGCTTACCACTGTTTCTTTCCTTGTCTAACACGTTTCTATAGTGCTATCCTTGTTTACCCCTATTCCTTTCCTTGTCTAACTCGTTTCTTTAATGCTATCCTTGTTTCTTTCTATCGATTTTCTTGTCTTAACTCATTGCCAAATGCAAACCGAATTACATACAGATATGATAAAAACAATAATTTTAACGTAGTTTACAAACGAAACATGCATTTTCTTTTTATGTGTACAGTCTTAACTTAAGGAATTTGCTTTTCCAATTATAATATATCGACGAAATAGAAAGTTATCACTCTTAGCGGGTATACAAAGTTGAGGTTACGAATATGTACAGTTAATGCTTCAGTATCGCTCGAGAAGAGAACATCGCAAGAGCTGCTTCCTCTTCGACATTCTGACTTTCTTTTCACTTTCAAATATTTTGGTGTTCTGTCTTTGCAATTTTTTGATAATTTTATTCAATAATTGATTATTTAATATATTTTATTGTGCGTACAGAATTTTTGAACTCGCAACAGCATGGTAAAAAGCACCAGACAGTGGAGGAGGAAAAATTTATAGCTTCTTGTCCAGAACAAACTTAGTTTATTTAATTTAATAATGAAATATTAATTAAAGGGTGAATGTTTCGCAAAAGGAAATTGATGTGGTGTGTAAGGAACAAATGAATAGATTGTAAAATGCTGTAAAACAATTCTGGTATATTGTAACCTTTTGTAAAATACATTTTGCACAGTTATATTACAACAAATAATTGATTCTTTTTATAAATTATTGCATTTCTTGATGTTTCCTGATGTTGAAGTCCTTTCTTTGATCTCTCTGGTGTCCTGGAAGGTCCATCTGTAATTCATACAAAAAGAACATTAATTTTTCTAATTTTTAAGAAAAGTTATAAACAATTTCTGACTAATCTAATGAATGCAATGGTTAATTCAATGTAAAATTAATATATTAAGCTATTTTATTAAATTAAAGCATGCAACAATTTTATTTAAAGCTTCCAATAATTGTAAACAACAATTACGATAAACAAATGTTATTGAAAGCGAAAAATTTAAAGAATTCTCATTATACTGTAATAAAAAATATGAAAACATAATTCTTCATTAGTGGATGATACATTCTATTTGTGTGTTCATAATTCATAATTTGTGTGAAAATATCTTTACACGCGGATTTAACAAAGGAGAATCTGTTACATCTGTCTTTGGTGGTTGGAAACTTACCGCTTTATGTCGTAGAGGGCATAACGAATCCTCTGATTTTTTACACGATCGGTATTTTAGAATGTTAGACATAAAAATACATTAGGTGTTAAGTTTATCCTGTATCTCGTCTTTATAATTTATATTAAAAATCATCGTTAATGTAAAGAATTTTCGTAAATATAACAAGATTAATAAATGCGTAATATGTATTTGTTTTTTGTGAAAAACGATTTGCTATGCAATAATAATTACAAGTAATTAGCTTAAATCATTTCATTTATTGGCGAACATCATTATCATTGATTTTCAAGTTGACAGTCGTGCATAGAAAAGAAAAAAATAGAATGCGAATACTTACACCAGTCATAAGAAATATATACTTTCGTGTTATAGTGTCGGAGAATAATAGTATTCACAGTTCTGTTAGATAGATTTGGGCGATTGATATTAAATACAATATATTGCATTTGTAATATATTGTATTATAAAATTTTTTTATACTCTCTCTTTCTCTCTCTCTCTCTCTCTCTCTCCCCTCTCTCTCTCACACACACACAATATAATAACACATATCTCTTTGTAATATAGATAATCTTTCTTTGATTTGCAAGGCCAGCATAGAAATCACACTAGAGAATGGTAAACTTAGTCTTTTTTTCTAAATTTTAGACAAAGAGACGCTCTTATCAAAAGACCTATTAGTTAAACGCAATTAACGTTATATACATATACAAAATTAATCTCGCTTAATTTCGAGCTTTTCATAAATATGAAATTTAATTTGCAGCAATAGAAAGTTCTAATAGATACCTGCATCTTATTATGGTAAGGAAAGAAAGTTTTTAAAAATGTTCTCATGTTCCGTAAACATCAGATTTTCTATCGTATGTGTGTGTTTGTATGTTTCAAATTATTTAGTTTGTGCATTCGTAAAATAATATTTCAAAAATGAAAATAATCGTAGTACACAGTATTTTTCGGTAGTTACGATGTTTCAAGCATCTCGTTTTATAAATTCCACGAAACTGTGTGTTCGGGTGTCTTATTGTACGCTCAGTCTAAAACAACTTCTTAAAAATACATTGATCGTAAACCGTATAAAATATACCGAGTGTATTCATTTTTATGACAGTTAAAAATAGTATTACTGGAAAATGTTTACAACGGTTCTTAATTCCTGTATATCTTTTTGGAAGCATTATTTACCCAGAGATCTCAGCCAGTGTTACAGAAATCGTTATTTGAAGTAATTTATAGATTTACATATGATAAATTGATTTTGAATTGTGGTTCTTTTTGAAGTTAGAATTTTTCGTATGATAAATTTTAATTCACAAACCATGATTCTGTTGTGGGTCAAATTCGCAAATCACGGTTCTATGATATCAAAACAGTATAAGTATATAACTGAAAAGATTCTGTCATAACGGGTGAATAGCAAATCAGAAGTTTCGTGTAAAATAGAAAAATTCGATACATTCCAAAATGACATTGTATATAGGCAGTGGTAATCGTAATACATTTGCAAAGTATTTGTAAAGGCATACAAAGTTCTATTGAAATTCAGAAGAAAATTGTACTTGTAGAAAAAACGTTTGCTCGAGGAAAGTATATGCAATATTATATGCAGATTTTAGGAGAAAATATATCAAAAGGAATGTAGAAAACTAAGCGAAGTAGATTTTACTATGATAAACTTTGGTATTATAAATGAGTGAACCTTTATGTCCCTCTGTCATTTCTTTTCATCAATATTTTCAATCTTTCTTTCTGGAAAGATATGATTATTTACAAAAAAAAATGATATAAAGTATAACGAGACTAATAGCAATAATAATATTAATAATAATAATAATGAAATAATAATAGCAGTGGCTGTAGTAATAGTAATGATAGTAACTATGATAAATCATACTAATACCATTGGTGAAATATAATGAAAAAAAGGTGCATAACTAAGCAAATGAAGTGCACTTAGTTTACTTTGCGTATTAGTGAACAATAAACGATGATACGTATTTTACTCGTATGTTACTGACACATCGGTACATTTGCAAACAATTTGGTGCAGCTAGAGTTATAGCCGTGGAAAACGGCTAGAAAACCTAGTCTTATCCTAAATTAGCTAATATTACCGGAAGATAAACTAACGAAGTGTTCTTATAGTTTCTAGAATTCTTTCGGATTAATACTAAAAAAACTAGTAACGGTTTCGGTAAATTTACCGCGACAAATACTGTAACTAACGATACATATCCTTGTTTCAATGTGAGACATCAGAAATATATCGATAAAACACATTTTTTGTAGTCCATAAGCGTGTTAACACTTACACCAGTCACTTTATACTGTTTTCTGAGACAATACGTGCAGTTACTCCGTTTTAACACAACAGGAGAACTATAACTATATTTTTTTTTTATATACAGACTGAGGCAGGTAAAGTATGATAACTGAATATTTTCGAAAGTATCGATGATGTGAAAAAATGTTACCAGACAAAGTTAATATCATTTGGGGAATATCCTATTAACGATACAACTTTTCTTCAGCTATGACTTAAAGTGTCTACAATTGAATTCGCCTAAATACGACAGAAAACTCTTAAAACACATCAATTTTGTCCAATGACATTCTTCGACCCATCAGCTATACTTTCGAATAAATTGAGTTGTCACGCTTCATGTGTCTTACCCTGTATATGATCCCAATTTATGAACATGTAATTATTACAGATAAAATATGTTACGTTAATTTCTGTGTAGTTACTCTCAATTTCAGAAATGCTAAGTCTAAAGGCCATTTTACTTTTTATTCTAAAGTATCTACCTATATAATGACAAGATGCACCTACTGTTTTAAACATTCCTATTCGCATTTATGTATTGCGTGTGTTTGTGTGATTTATTTGTAATTATATTGACTATTAAAGATTAACTTACGCCTATTAATAAATTAATAGATAAATAATATTGGTTAAAGGTCAAACAAATATTTCTACAAGTAACAATTAGCGTCTACGCTGCAAATACTTTGAAAGACGCGTCGCTATAGTTATATCGCAGAAACATTTCTCTCTAAACATCCTTCCACTGACCCTTTTTTTTTCTTTCTTATAATATACAACGTTTGTACCAATGTCTACCTAAAGAAGTTCAACCACAGAGTGAAAAACAAAACGTAAAGCATTTCGATTGCAAGTTTCAAACTCTCTGCAAAGCACTTCGGAGATGTTTTCTTTAGAAGAAGCGATTCCGAAAAATCAAGATATATAGAGTCCTCAACTACTGCGCCCAACTAATTATTAGAATCTAATAATTGTAACGGGAATCATAGTCATCTTCTAGATCTCAAAGAAATCTTTAAACGGTAGATGTCTGTTGATTGTTATTATCCAATGGAATACTCGTCGAACATTCTTTCAACATAGCTCGTAATCGAAGAATCTCCTTCGATGCGGCTGCAAGATCCGATTGCAGTTGTAGCTCCTTCTCTCGCAGACGTTTAATGTCGCGTTGACAGGTCTGCAAAATAACGTCGCAATTAAATCATGACAGTAATTAGAAGGATAATATAAATTTCATAAACGTATATATTTACCACATTCTGCCTCAATAAGTCTAACTTGTCGCATTTAAGCCTAGTGACTTCCATTCTCAAATTCTCGTTCTCCAAAACACCATCCTTAGTCGTACACCTCGCTGTGTCATGTGTTTCCGCGGAGCTCATCGACTCGAGGCCCGTGTCGCTGTCTGGATACACAACCTGATCCAGCTCGAGCTCGCTGTTCAACGAACTGTCGTCGCTCTCCGAAATAACCCGTTGGGTCATTTCCTTTTTCTCCGACCTCTCTTGTTTTCGTAAATTCTCGTGGGTCAGTCTCTGAACAGGAGACACAGAAGTTTTATCCGCCAGCGTGGTGTCATTGCTGGCGCAAACAGAAGTGGTAGATTCCCTACGATCGACTTCATCTTGCTGCAAAGTGGCCAAACTGCTGTCTTGATTGTCTGTGTTCGACAAACTGCTGTCCTGACTTCCTAAACTAGGGCTTCCGCGTTCTGAATCTCTTCCGAGAGTTAAATCCGGAGAACCTAAGGGACTCGACGGCTCCACCGAGCGTTTACTGTTGATCTTCGTAGTCGATTGTCGATTACTCGGCGGACTAGGCTCCGACTGACCCTTCTTCGATAATTGCTGCGGCACGCTCTCAGTCGAGGCGTTTCTAACGCGCGATATCAGTGCTTTTCGCACGGTATCGATGAACCTGGAGCCACTTCCTCCGCTACCAGACCCAGACGCGTCGCTTGCTGTCGGACTTACCGGGCAATTTCCACCGATTGCAAAACCAGCACCGCCCAAACCGATCGCTCCACCAAGAAATTCTGCGGTCTTCGTTTGAAGCTCCTCTGTCAGAGACTCCAACAGGGCTGACCTCGTTCTTAGCTGTTCGTTCAAACGTAATATACCGTTATTACACTTGTTACAACTGCGTCTGCAAAGTTTCATTCTTATTGTAGCAGTATTTAATTACCTCGAGCTTCGAAAATTTCTCAGCTTTGTACGCCGCATTCTCAGCGTTCACCAGTTTTGTTAAGAGGAATTCCTTGAACTCGACTCCTCGCAGAAATACGGCTGGCGTTGGCAGAGCTGGCCCGAACCATGGAACGTCGTTTCGAGCCGTTATACTGACCTTATACCTGTACGTACACACATTATTTACATAAGTTTCTACAAAATTCGACAGATATGTAACATATGCTTACACGATGTTCAGTAATGGTTATTTCATAACTGACGTGGCCCAAATTTACGCGATCTTAATATACCCGACACGGTACACACGAATCTAAATATATACCTTGTATTAGGAGTGCAAGGGTCAACGACCTGTACTATGATGAAAGCGTGTAAGAAATGGCTGGCGATCATATCTGGACTGAAAGGGGTTGGCTCCTCTTGGAATATTATCGCGACGATGTCGTTGCCTATGTGTCGTTTACGCTGTAACTGTTGCGAATCGCCTGGACTGTACGGAAGAAGAGAAGCGACATGGAAGAGGACTTCTCGGCCTCGAAATACCTCGTACACCGCGGAATCTCCTGTCTGGCCGTGTCGAGTGTCCAAACCTCCGCGATATCTGTAAACATTCACATCGAACGTTGTAACTTTTCTTTCACGAAGGCTGAAGAATAAAATCGAACAGCGTTCGACTGAATTTTCGTCACTTTCAGTATCCAACTATATTCTAGAAATATAATTAACAAATATAATTTTGGCTCCCTTTAGAAAATTCCTCTAAGTTGTAAAAATACCAACCCTTTGTGATCCTTCAGATCGATCTTCTGGCCCAGCAAGTCGAGAAATTCTTGGAAGGCTGGCGTGATTTGCCTGTTTCCGAAAAGTTGCTCTTCTGTGACCTGGCCAGCACGTTGATGAAGAACACCGAATTTAAATCTCGAGACCAGGGCGTGCTCGTCGTACCGTGCTATCAGTGTACCAGCACCCGAACAGACAACTGGCATCAGCGTGCTCACGTTCAAGGATTCATTGATCGCCTGTAAAAAGGTGTTCAAAGTCGTATACTACGATTTTTGCAATGGGATGGTTAGAAGAGTTAAAACTCCGCAATTAAGACCTATGTGGTTTGAATTTCTTTGCTATAGCATGTTCACTGCGGTACGGGGCAAGTAGACTCGTTCTTCATTGAATAGTTGCTCATATTTCCATCACTTTTACATTGTTTTCTCGGTATTAGGCATCGATCGAATCTTTGTAGGACAAAATAACAAAATATATTTTCAGGGGCTTTTCTTTGAATATTAGCGATGTGCAAAGCTGATATCTCCATAATTTCCCCACTATTCTCACCCCATTATGCCTAATGGAACCTCCGTAGAGTAAAAAGAAAATAGGAAGCTCCCCAAAAAGAGCTGTCGCGGTGAACGTGACAACGACAAAACCTGTTCAATGGAAAAACTCGAAAGGATGTTCGAAACTTCGAACGCATTCACCTTGACCATTTTGGCGGGTGACGGATTCGGTCCGAGGTTCGTGGCTGGTACCAATTCGTGAGTGGATCCAGCTCTTAGTCGCAACAGGACCCTCCAGTGCTCCTGTCCAGCAACCGTCTCGGCCTTCACCGAGACGAGGACCGACCCGTTCTCTCCGTCCCTTCCCACCAGGTTCACGTGCTCCTGCAAAAGAAAAAGGTTCAAGAGCTGGATGAAATAAACCGGGGCCTCCGCTCCTTTTTACGATCGTGACCAAGCTTTGTTGAGAAAGCCGTGGCCCGCGCGGAACGCATCGACCGCCAGAGTCGGTCGACTTTGATGCTCCTCTCTGGAGCATCCGAGTGCAACGGTGAAAGGTGCAATGCAACAGTTTCGTGCAGGGCAAACAGCCCTCTCGAAACTCCAAGTGCCTATCGGAGCACCGGATTGTTCGATGTTAATTAGTTCGTTCAATTGGCAGAAGGAAGTAACGAGGGGATTGGTTATTTTTCGAGAGATTACACAGAGTTACGTTTCGGGGAAGTGTAGTTTTTATAGGAAAACCAGAAAAGGAACACAGACCCGGAATAACAGCCCCTACAATGCACCGTTTCGTATACTAATTACAAGGGAAGATTGATCTAACTATTCTCGTAACAGTGCTTTATTCATCGTATTTCCCAAGTAATTGCCACGTTACTTGGAACGAATCATCAATTGTAAAATCTTAGACAAAGCAATGCTAATCATTCTTTTTGCCTTTAGCCACGAAACTAAATATAGTAGCGTGTTTTTTTACGATTTATTTATCTTGAAAACATTATTTCAACGCGTGTTCCCTTTAAACTCAACAATTGCCGAATAATTGCCACGTTACTTGGAACGAATCCATTCTAGAATTTTACACAAAGGAATACTACTACTCTTTTTTATTTTTCCCACCAAAGTCAATATAGTAGTACGACTGTTACAATCTATTTATCTTAAAAAAAAAAAAATACTTCAACGTGTGTTGTTCTTTCCTCATTTTTGCATTTTCTACTCAAGTAGAAATAGCGTGGCTCTCAAGCTTAATACTTTTTTCTATTTTAGCCACCAAGGTAAATATAGAAATATGATTGTTACAATTATTTTGCCATAAAAAAATGATTTCAAGCCACGCTCTCCCTCTGCTCAAATAGAAATTAATGTCATTCCCGAGATAAATTCCTGGGGAATGCACAATAAAATAGTTATTACTCGAGCATCGTACACGGGCGAGTCTATCGGCGAGATAGAAAGAAAAGTGGTTATTTCCCGATATTCCGCGCAGACTCGTGGTGTAGTTCAATGAAAACTCCGTAGCAGAGAACCTGGGAAAAGAGGCAAGGTCCCGGAAGAAGTGGTTAAAAACGGATTCAATTGATATGTTTCGAAATAGAATCTGGCCGCCGTGGTTTAGTTAGAATTTAGTATCTACACAAATAATCCCGCTATATGGACCGCGGTAGTGTAGGAAACAGAGAGGAGCGAGGGCAAGCGGAAGAAAAGCGAAGGCATCTTAAAAGCGGCTAAGGATGAAAATCAGGGATGTCGACGACGAGGCGAGGAAGAGAGGAGAGTTTCTTCTTATATAGGCATTGCTTATGGACTATGAGAACGTTCCCACTCCCACGCCCGAAGTGCTCTTTTCCTTTTCTTCTGCATCTTTACCTCTCCTCTTCTTTCTACCTTCTCTCGTATTCTCTCTCTCTCTCTCTTTTCCTCTCTCTGTGAGCTCGGTTCGTTCGTGTGCACGCGCCGCACACTCGTGTCTAGTGTATATACAGGGTGATTGCGAAGTAAGCTCGCTGTTGCAAACGAACCGCGCGCAAATCGCGTCACGCTTTTCCTCTGCAAATTTTCCGACCCATTTTTTACCATTTTTGATTGTGGGAATTTAGAAGAATTCGATTAAATTCTGGCCCTTGTTAAATTCGAATTAAGGAGTAGTGAATGGGCCCCTATCGGTAACGCAAAATTTTCATTTAAATTTAACATACTCCGAATATTTGATATTCGGAAAAGCCTCTAAGAATTTAATTGCAGGGTAATTTCGGGTATTGAAGTAGATTTGGCGTTTAATTCAACATTTAAAGCTGCATAGGCACTTATTTGTTAAGTAAAACTAGAAAATTTTAAAATAATTCATTAAAATAATTAAAATAATGAATATTGCTGAAAAATAAAGCAGAAAGCCAAATTAAATCTTGGTTAGTTTAAATCACTTTGATAGTGGAAATTTTCGAATTATAAAAATTTGGAAAAGTAGGAAAATTATCTGCGTTTGCAAAATTACGTATCACTTTTCCTGAACCGTTTCTTGTGTGAATTTTCGGCCCCATTTTAAGAATGAAATCCTTAAGAATTTTGTCGTTTATTTGATAATTTTAGTAAAGTGAATGATTTTCTTCGAAACTTTTACAATTCGAAAAATCAAATGTTTTTGATACTTTTTTTGCGATCACCCTGTATTAAGTGAGAACCATTACGGTCTGTGGCACGCATGATGTTTTACATGTGCACATTTCGCCTATTAGCCGTGCTTCGAGTAGTCGAAAGAGAAACGAGAGAAATTCGTACGTCGCGTGATAGTTCTCGAAATATATCTGCGAGTGTGTGAAACAAAGTTAATACGTTCCCATTTTCCCAAGCTTTTCTTTATCACTTATAGCCGCCGGAAGTAAGCAGATGTAATTGTACTAAGTCATGCATTTTCAAAGTAATTATTCTTTAGAGCCGAGTTAAACGAACTGCGAAGATAATTCAACACGGACTTATATACGAATTAATGAAATAATGTTAACGTTAAGTAAAAGCTTTGTGTAATAAAGATGATACCACGAGTAATGGGAATATGGAAGAGGGAAGAATTTAGTAAATATGTATGAAAATCTCTTATCCTAGAAGATGAGAGAAATATCTTGCCACTTTATTTGATCCTTTAATCCATTAATTACCAAAGTTGCGTAAACGAAAGATTTAACGAAAACTAATTAGAAAATTTGTATTATCTTAGAAATGAAATTTAATCCAATCTATGTTATAAAGAACATAGTCTTTTATGTTTTGGCATAACAATTTATTAATGTAAAATAAAAGTCTAGTTGTTATTTGTATTTAAAATACATATAGCTTTATTTGTATTTAAATAGCTTGTCTAATTTTTTTGATCAAAACAGCTTTTTGTCACGAATCACCAATTGGCCAATACGTAGAAAAGAATAACTTATTTATTGAAGGACTATTCAGTTTTAATTGCACTGCTATGACTGTATCGAGCGTAAAATACATCATATTCATATTTGTAAGAATGAAAAGGAAGTAATTGGTTATAATTCTTATTCATTTTTAATTAGAAACTAGAGAGTTTCAATTTCTGTTCGAAAGGAGAATACAGGTTACCAGGTTAAGGTCACAATTTTTTCCCCTTTTTATTACAACTACCTAATTGCGTGTATTTCTGTTTATAACGAAAAGTACTATCTTGAAAATAATATTTTCACCTCTGAGAAGTAATAGGTTAAAAAAGAAAAGGAAAGATTTGCATTATTTAATCAACATAATACAAACAAATATTAGCATCCCAGTCTTTTTCTCTTTTCCTCATTGTAACTACCTATTTCCATGCATTTCTGTCTATAATGAAAAGCACCAGCTTGAAAATAATATTTTTTCTACCCCTGGGAATTGATGGGTTAAAAAAGAAAAACACTTGCACTTGTCGCATTATTTGATCCTTCGAAAAAGAAAAACAAAAAAATTTGCATTATTCAATAATACACTTATCGCATTATTTGATCCTTCGAAAAAGAGGAAAGGAAAGGAAAGGTTTGCATTATTTAATCGAGAATAATATACACACCCTGCCGACGAAGAATCGCCTATAGCATTTAGCCGTGTCATCCTGGTCTATCCTAGGTTGCCATGCGGGCTGCGCCGGAAGTAACGCCCTGCCAGCTGAGTCCAGGGCGTGTCGATGATCGGTACCGTCGACCCAGTATCCAGGCGGTGTCACCACCAGAGGTGGCTGAGTTCCGGAAGTGGCTTGCTGGAGCGCAGCCTCCATAAGAGCTCTGCCAACCGGTGCATCGCCGACCGGTGAAGGGGACGGTGTGGGAGTGTGATTATTCTGATTACCAGGACTCGAGGCTGCCCTGTCCTCCCTTGGGGTCTGTAATCAGAACAGGCCAGTTCGATATCACACCTCTGAAATTCACCCATGCGTCGTTTAACCCCTTCGAAATTTTCGAGCCTTTGAAATACGTAAAACTCTCCCTCCTCTATCTAATGACACTTCAAAAAAGGAATCAGAAGCTCCATTTACTTTCGTTAATTAAACAGTGGGAAAAAAATATATCATATTTACTTATTTAGTAATTAAGGAGCCTCGGTCCTGCTAATATAACATAATCGCTATTTTTCTGTAACTATCGTGAATATTAAAGTATCGGAGATACTTTCATTTAATTTGGCCCTTAAAATTAGTCAAAATTAGCAAGTTAATCCGTACAATAGGTATTGACGATGAATTGCAACAGAAAGCATTGTTAGAAATATTGTATTCCTGTCGATGGACAGCATTTATCAACTGGTACTGTACAGTTTCCATTGTCGCGTTTAGGCCCGCCGGATACGTAGAGCTATAACCTACTTCGTACATTACGAACAGGTCGATTATTTGAGGAAACGGGATTCCCCATAAAACCGAGCGATCTAAAGATAGAAGAAGCCGCGAACGCTGCTCGACTTTTTCTTCCGCTTCCACGATTCTTTTCCCGACTACCTAGCATCGCTTGTCCTTCTTCTCCACAAGCTTCGAATGGTTTCAGTTTATTTCTGGCAACGAGGGAACGAGAGAGGGAAAGCAAATTCTCTCTCTCTCTTTCTCTCTCTTCACTTCACTTTCTTTTCCTCCTATTTAATATTTCCCTTCTCTGTCTACGCCTTTCTCGTTTGTTTGCTCCCCCTTTCAGGTGCGCCCCGCTGCATGCAGTCTTGTTAAAATCCCATTCATTTTTGAAATCCGTTCAGACGGAACCGCACGGAGCAAGAAAGTTTCTCATCTACGCGCCTTTTAACACGCACCTCGCCGTTTACGCAGCCCGACGAACGTGTACGTACCTTTAAAACGCGTTCCAACAGAAAAAAAGAGGGAGGGATTCGGCGAAAGAGAATTTTTAATTTTTCAATTCGCAACAAGTCCGAGCGAGTGGGCCTTCTCTTCCACTTGTTGAAAAATGAAGAAAAAACGATCGATATTAAACGAGCAATTCAATTCGAACGTTTTAATTACAGAATGTAACTGGAGAAAGAGGTTCAGCTGGTTGGCAGCTTTCTTTCCCGTGGAAATCGCGCCGTGGTAAAGAGAAAGAAAGAAACTGTTCCAATTGCGTGTGTAACAGTTAGCAATTATAACATTCGCGTGTGTAAGGAGAACTCTAGAACGATGGAAAAACACAATCGCTGACCCGTGTGTGTTCATTATGCGCCTATTTTTCCCTGCAGACTTTTGTGTCGAAGAGCAACAAGAAACAACACCAACGGGATGTTAATCGCAATTAGAATATTTAAATGCGACACGCTCTGCATATGAGAAGTGCGAATCAGATCCAAACCATCTGATATACACGTCTTGCGTGATCTTTTATTAACGAGAGACCGAATCCAAAACATCTTCGAGTTTTCAAACTTTGACGTTTAGTTTTGGGATAACAATCACTTCGTTCTATTTATTTTACAGTATCATTTTACAGTGCTGATGTTCAACATGCTAATAGGTATGCTCTTGTTTTTCCTGTTAATTTGTGTACACTTCAGATTATCGACTTCAAGATGGACAGGAAGCAAATTTGATTATTTTCCTTGTACGAGTATAAACTGGGTCATAAAGTTGCGGAAACGACTCGTAATATTAACGATGCATTTGCACGAGATACCGTGAATGAACGTACGTGCAACAAAAAAATTGGAACGATTAATTCCGACATCTGTCACGAATTGGGCTATGAAACTCTGCCTCATCCGGCATATTTCCCGGACCTATCGCTAACCGACTACCACTTTTTCAAACACCTCGACCACTATTTGCAAGAGAAGATCTTCACTAACCAAGCTGCTGCTGAAAATACGCTCGAAGTAATTCATCAATTCTAGAACACCAAAATTTTACGCTACAGGAATTAAAAAACTTACCACTTGGTGACAAAAATGTGCAAATTCCGATGGATCTTATTTTGATTAAAAAACTTTGTGGATTTAACGACGAAGTTTAAAAACCGACGTTAACTTCTTTACCAACCTAATGCAGAAAAGAATAAAAATTTCCCTTTCTTCAAATTTCAAATCGTCGAAATTCTACGAACGCTTCGATGCAACAGAAACGTCGGTTCTATCGTTGTCCATAGTTATCGACGATAACTGCATTATTTCTTTGTTTACATTCAACGAGCATAATACACGGAGGAGTACGTGTCATATTGAATGTATGCCACCCTGTATGTACATCGATGAGGAGGCGTTTCTCTTTACCAACCTAATGCAGAAAAGAATAAAAATTTTCCTTTCTTCAAATTTCAAATCGTCGAAATTCTACGAACGCTTCGATGCAACAGAAACGTCGGTTCCATCGTTGTCCATAGTTATCGACGATAACTGCATTATTTCTTTGTTTACATTCAACGAGCATAATACACGGAGGAGTACGTGTCATATTGAATGTATGCCACCCTGTATGTACATCGATGAGGAGGCGTTTCCACTTGAATTATAAATAACGACGTGCGACTGACTGAAATAACACATTGGTCATCGAGCATATCGCTACTTCTCAAGTCCGTCGCGGAGTTGTTCCCACCATTTTTTTTCAAATTACTCTAATTTCACTGATTAGAGTCGAGAGTATCTTCGCTATATCTCTGCTTCTGCCGTCGATATAATAAAATATCTTCTCGAAGGGAGACTTTCGGTCGTTAACGCCAAAGAAAAGATAGAGAAGATGAGGGACGTAATAGTAGTACCCTCTTGGCTATATCTTAGTCATATCTCTCTTCCTGGAATTTTAGGGGAGAATGCAAACAACCGCGAGGGGAGAAGAAAAAAGAAAGTTTCCTACTAGGCAAGGAAGAGCAGTAATAGACTGCTCCAGCCACCCCTCGATGCGGTTCTTAGACGGCCTGAGGAACGGAAGCGGAGCCTGGTGGCTCCCGAGAATCGACTAAACACCGCGGGTAGTCACGATAAGAGGCCAATTTCGCGTCTGACTCATGCACCGCTTACTATACCGATGTCGAATTTTATTGGAAGAGTGTAATACTTTCGACGAGGACCGATTAGAGAAGTGCCTTTCGTGCGGAACACAAATTCTTACTTACAGTCACTACCAGTAATATTCGGACACTCTTTAGAACAGTATAACTCTTTTAAAATTGAACCTAACGACTTGAGGTTTGTTTTTGAGAAATTAGGAGGATTAGTGTACCGGATGACGTGTGCAAAAAATTTGGCAAAAATTGCAATTTGTCGGAATCGCGAAGAAAATTCTTAATCAATCTGGGTCTTTAACGACCCGAGTGAAATTTCTTCCAAACGAATTTTGATTTTTATTGAAAACAATTTCAGACATTTCACTTAACGAACGATTCTACAATGTAACAGAGACATTGACAAGTACTCCAGAATTTTTTCCGATCTCTCGAAAGCCTGAAACGGTAAAACAGTTAGACACGAGCGACTAAGTTTGCCCACGGAGTGTGAAAAAATATGTTTGCCTACGGTGGTTTAACAGTATGGAACGAAATATCTCCGAATAGAATACGAGATGTGGAAACGGTACATCTCTCCGATCGGTTAACAATACGTTAACAGCGAGTTAGATCCGAATAAATTCTTATCTCCGTGAAAGCTGGCTTTTCGAAGCCTATCGAACGTGAAACTGAATAGTGGGCTGTCGACGGAAAAGGAGATTTCCCGAGACGCGAGAATATTGTAATAACGAGATAATACCGTTTGAAGCTTCTTACTTACATCCTTCTTAATTGCAAGTTAGAGGCTTCCTAGCCTCTCTTAAATAGGAAACATGACGCATCCAATCGTAATTGCAAAGTATGTCAAACGGAGGAAAGAGAGCGAAATTAATAACGTTTAGCTGCAACGGAAATTATCTCCTTTGTAAATTAAACTGCTGGATGGATGGTGCTGATTAATTGAAACAGCCTCCCACATAAGTATTTACATACGTTTCTTTTCCTCTGAACAATCTTAACAAACCGTTAATAAAAGAGTAAGAAGAACGATCTCGAATAAGATTTAACTGTAAACAATGGAAGAAGACTTTCTACCATCGAGTGTAATATGCTATGACGCAAGTGAGAAACAACTGACAAACGTTCTCTTTAACCCTTTCGTTACTATTAGAAAATTATACTGTTGGAACATCTTGGCGCACTTCCACCTTAATTTAACATCTTCACGCATTTCGACCTTAACCCTTTAACCTACGATTTCTTTCTAATTACGCATCTAAGCGTCAGCCATTTACTGTTTCAGTACTGTATCAGGTAGCAAAAGCTAATCTGTTAATAATTACGATGAATTTTTCTTACTAATACAACTATTTTTCTCACATCTTCACCAAAATCTTTGCCACGAGTCTGACGCGTTGTCATAGGTCAAGGCGTTAATTTAATAAACCGAATTTTAAAACGACACGGTCAAAAAAAAAACAAACTTTGCAGTGGTTGAAAATTTATCGTCTGTCAACCACGTTAAATCCGCCGTAGCGAAAGGGTTAACATGAAAATATTCTCACGAAGCGTAGGAAAATAAAGGGGTAACAAGAGGAGGAAGAAGGGAGAGAAAAGGCGAGGGGGAAAAATGGAAAATGGTGAACACAACTTGCGTATTAATACCGCAAGCGGCCAGGGCGACGTACAAAATCGACAGAAAGAGGAGCCTTTTCTAACCCCTGACAAATCGGGAGAGTTTGCTGCATTATACCTCGACCCTAAGCAAACTGCGTGAGTGCACATTCATCGTTCCTCCTCCACTCCTCTTTTCCTTCTTCCGTTTTGCTTTCCCGCCGTCGTGTGCGTGTAACTCATCTATACGAATCGTCTTTCTCTCTCTCACTGTGACTCGTATTTACGTAGCTTTATATCAGGTGCTTTCTGTGCA